CAGGATTTAAAGGTAAGGTAAACTTGGGTGTATCTCTTCCATAAATATGCTGTCTTGAGTTTTTAAGATGTGGACGTTGAAAATATGGGACCTTAAATTGATATATAAAATTTGAAAGATCTAAGAATTATAAAACATACTTTTGAGAATCTAGGAGTCTTGTTCTGTATTCTGTCATTATCAAATACTGATCAAAGCACAGGTATTTTACAAGGTCCAAAGATCAGTACTTAAACTATCTTATGATGTTTCAATATTCACTTGGAAATGACGCCAGATGAATTCTTACATTTTATATACTCAAGTAAACTATATGGATATTGAAAAACAAAGATATTACTTGAAGAAATCATCAGGAAGGTAGACTTACATTTTCTAATTTATTTCATATGCTCTTTAATATACAGTATTTAATTCATATATGTGAAGCTCATTATTATGGAATATAATGAGTAAAATCAACCTCTTTGAGATACCATATTCTTGTCTAGACTCTTAAGAAAAATTCACAGCACTTCACATTTATTATTCTTTTGTCAAGAGGCTTGGCATAACTTTGAGTTTCCCTTATAGTAGTTTGCATTATTTGTTGTTCCAAGACTTATAATACAAATTTAAAATCATTAAAACTAAGAACCTTCACTATCTTGGTCTAAATCAAATTCTCCCATTTGTTGAGAGCAAGTTCTTTGGGGAGGATTTCTAAAGAATGCTTAATTTTCTCATTGTTGTTTTCCTCCTTAGCTAAAATGGGATAGTTGGAATCGACCCATAAGAACCTTGTATAAACTGAAAATTACACTATATGTTTTTATGGAGTTCTGAACAATTTATATTTCTTGGACTACTAATAGTGGGAACAAGATTTTCTCTGACTTTTTTGCCTGCTTTGGGGACTCATTTTCGCCTACTGGGTTGCCTTGTCCAGCCTTAATATAAGGGGAGTGACCTAGTGTCATAGCAATGTTTAGTTAGTTACCATGGTTAGTTGATATCCCTGGGAGGCATGTCCTTTTTAGAAGTGAAATGGAAGAGTAAATCAGGGATAGGAACTAGGGCTAGGGTGGCCTTGGAAGGGAAGGAAAAAGAAGAAACTCCAGTTGGAATGGAATATATGATAGAAGAATAAAAGTTAACAAAAAACCTACCAGGGGCTACTATTAGAAATATTGGCATAATTCTGTTGTATGGAGCTGTCTGAGGCTGACATGACCAATAAATCATAGGTATGTATCCCATGTCTTCCACTGCAATGTTTTATTCAATATCTTGTTTCCTATAAGCAACATTATTCACCATGCAGAGAAAATCTTTTTCTGCTCCTTTTTGTTAAAATTGTATCTTGACATTAATTCACTATGAATGTTTTCATAGGCTTTTTGTACATTCTTAGTTTTAGATAACCCTCACTGCTCTTTAATTTTTCCGTTCTCTATAACTACAGAGTCCCTATTTTTCAGTTCACATATATTCTAATTTCCCCCTAAATATTTTTTAAACATTTTGTGGTATAGTATGCTTATATATAGTTTTACATATGCTGCATTTTGGGTTAGTCCAGTGCTCTACCTTCTGTTTTCTCATATACTTCATTTCTCACTCATGCTTTAGCTTCTAATTCTCCAAATATTCCATCTATTACTTTTTTTTTTTTACTTTTTCTTAAAATCTTGTTTTTAATTATATTTAACTATTGTAAATTTACATTTGTTGACTAGGCTCAAAAGCAAAGCCGTGAACGATAGCAAAGGCCTAAGTGTGACTTCCTGGAGTTCAGTTATCTGCAGAGGATTGCTGGGAGACTACCTACTTCTTGGATTTTAATGAAAAGCTTCTGTGTTTTAATTAAATGTTGTTGCCAACAAAAATGTTGTTATGAGAACAACATAAAAATAATTTGAGGACATTTATTTGACAAAATTCAACATTCCTTCATGGTAAAAGTCCTGGATAGATCAGGAATCCAAGGCCCAAACCTAAGCATAGTAAAAGCAATACGCAGCAAGCCAGTAGCCAACATCAAACTAATTGGAGAGAAACTTGAAGCAATCCCACCAAAATCAGGGACTAGACAAGGCTGCCCACTTTCTTCCTACCTATTCAATATAGTACTGGAAGTTCTAACCAAAGCAATTAAACAACAAAAGGAAGTACAAATAGGAAATAAAGAAGTCAAAATATCACTATTTGCAGATGATATGATAGTATACTTTAGTGACCCCAAAACTTCCACCAGAGAACTCATAAACCTGATAAATAACTTCAGCAAAGTGGCTGGATATAAAATCAACTCAAACGAATCAATAGCCTTCCTCTACTCGAAGGATAAACAGGAAGAGAAAGAAATTAGGGAAATGACACCCTTAACAATAGCCACAAATAATATAAAGTATCTTGGTGTTAATCTAACCAAGCAAGTGAAAGATCTGCATGACAATAACTTCACATCTCTGAAGAAAGAAATTGTTTTACTTTTAATGTGCTATTATTCCTACTTTAATGTGACCCTGCGTCTAAGAAGATTGTTTCTAGTTTCCTAGACTCATAATAAATCAAGCAATCAAAACAAAATAATTTAAGTTGGGGTCTGCGTATGAAAGAGTTTTATAGTTTTATCTTTCAAGGTCTAAGTGGCATTACTCAGTTTATTTTTGCCCAGTTCCATCCCCTTTCCTTTAAGTTTTATTTTTCTTTATAGCTGTGTAATATTTCATTGTATGTATGTACCACATTTTCCTCATGCATTCATCTGTTGATGAAAACCCAAATTGATTCCATTTATTAGATATTGTGACTACAGCAACAATAAATATGGATGTGCAAATATCTCTGAAGTAGGATATTGAATAAATGTCCACCTGCAGTATCGCTGGGTCATATGAAAGTTCTGTCTCCAGTTCTTTGGAAAAATTCTAGACAGATTTCCAAAATGACTGCACTAGCTTTTCCAAGGACATTGAAGATATCTTAGTTTGGTTAAGTGTACTGTAATAGTTTTACACAGTGACAAAATCAACTAACAACTTTCTCACCACTATTCCTTAATTTAATTGTCACTTGATTGTATCTCATGGGCACTAGAAAAGCTGTGAATAACTAGGAAATATGTAGAATCCAGGGGTACAGAGGGCTAGTTATTTTATCTACAGACTTCAGACTTCTGACTTTGAATCCTTCTGACAAGTACTTGTATTAAGGTTTTTATTGCTGAGAAGAGACACCATGAACAAAGCAATTTTTATAAGAGACAACATTTAACTGTTGCTGACCTATAGGTTCAGCTGTTCAGTCCATTATCATCCCGGCAGTACACATCATCCAAGCAGACATGGTCCTAGAGAATCAGCTTAGACTTCTACATTTGGTTGTGATGTCAAACAGGAGAAGACTGGCTTCCAGGAAGCTAGCAGGAAGAAAAGTCTCAAAGGCCCACCCCCACAGTGACACACACACTTCCTCCAATAAGTCACACCTACTTGAACAAGGCCACCCTTCCTAATAGTGTCACTTACTCCCTGGGCCAAGCATATTCAAACTGCCACATTCTACTCTCTGGCCCCCATAGGCTTGTTCAAACACATGGATCTTTGGGGTAGGGGGTCACACCTAGCCATAGTATAATTGAAAAATAAGTATTGTCCAACTTCAAAAGTTCCCATAGTCTATAGCAGTCTCAACAATGTTAAGTGTCAAAAGTTCAGTCTCTTCTGAGATTCATCCAAACACTCAATTCCAATCTCCTATAAAATCAAAATTAAAAGGTGATTATATACCTCCAACAACACAGGAAGTATATTACCATTCTAAAACTTTATAGTGAGGAAATACTGGACTAAAGCAAAGACCATAAACCAGCTAGGCAAACTCTACATTTTGCATCTCCATGTCTGATGTAAAAGCACTCTTCAGATCTCCAATTCCTTTCATCTTTGTTGACTGCAACAAACTTCTTTCCCTTTGGCAGGTTCCATTCACTGTTAGTGGCTTTCCTAGGCCAGATATCCCATGGCTCTGACATCTCTGATATCTTGGAGTTGCAGCTTCAACTTTACAGCTTCTTAATAATCATTGATATAATTTTAGGAATTCTTATAGGATGATCATTAAGACTTTAGAAGTCATCTATTTGTCTATATAGCATCACCACAAGACAGTACATCTTCGTGGATCTGCAGAGATCTGCTCCAAAGGGGTGTGCTATTGCTTAGTGATGGTCATATTTGTTTAGTAATAATAAGAATAGGAAAAGCATATTAACAGCAAGAATCTTTCCTAAAATAAGTCCCTTTCAGCCTTGCTGATAAGAGCCTTGCTGATAAGACCTCACTTGTCACAGATTATATATGGCAAGCCATTTCAGGATGATCACCTGCTAATTATTAGCTTGTCCTATTATGGCTCCTAACAGGTCAGCTTCCTTGAGTTAGTGACCTCCGTAGTTGGAAGCATAGAGAGGTTTTCCGTGTCATTGATAACCTTCTCCACTGTTCCCCACAGCAAGTTGCAAAGAAGAGAAATAGGCTATGGTCTTAAGATATTTACTTTCATGGTGAGAAATGGATGAAAACTATACCGCTGTACTCTCAGGACAGGCCTGAGGTTAAATACCTTTTATAAGGAGGAGGGTCTGGGAAGGAATGCATAACTGGCTAAGCCCTCAGGCGTTTAGGTATCTCATTAATATGGGGATCTATCTTGAGGCTCCATGGCCTCTAGTCATGCCCTCAAACTGTGCAGGGCCTAGTAGAGGCCTAGAGTCTAGGAGCATGGAGAAATATATGCTATCCCTTACAGGGAAACCTGTGGGGGTCTCTGGCCATCTCTAGGTGGTACTCAACCAGAAACTATGCTGTCCTTTCATGGTCCTACATTCTTCCTTTGATTGTAACACACTTAAGCTGAGTTGATGTCTCTACAGTTTGAGAAATGATATTACTATCCAATTAGTGACATTTTAAAGTTGATTGATGATACCCTTTGTTAAAATATAGTACCCCCAAATGGATAACAAGCTGGATGTCTTCAGGAGGGAATTAGTGGATGTTCAAGGTATCCCTCTCTTTTGGAGCATTGCTGAGCAATGGTCCCAAGTAGAGTCATTTGAAGCCCGACCTGATGATCTTTTGATCTCCACCTATCCCAAATCCGGTAAGAACTTTCAGTTTACTCACTATAGACAGTTAGACAATAACCCATACTCATGAACTTGATTACCTGCAGATATTTGTCCAGGCTAAGCTGAATTTTTCTAACGTGTTGCAAAAGCTTTGTGGCTTGCTGGGGATTATATCCCTGCATATTCACTTCTGAAATGTCAGTAGGTATCCTATGAATTTACTTGAACCCACAATCAGTCAAACTTCCTAACTAATAAATACTCTAATAGCAACTTTTCTCCATATTTCTACTTAATTTCCTAAGGGGAAAAAAACAAATAAACTAGAATTTAGCATTTTATGATCTGCCAAGATGAAATGACCCTAATGTGATTACTGGTTCTTAGGAACTGAATGAATGTACTGTATGACATATTAGTATAAAAAGGAAGGTGGTTTGGGCCAATTTTCTTCTTTCTTTCATTTACTTTCATTTTAATTAATTTTCCAAGTTAGTCAACAAATTATTGAGTTTAGTTGAAACTAAACTGCCATATATATGTATCATTTCTAGTATCTGGAAACCATCAAAAAGTGTAGACAATCATTCCATTCATTAAAATGTTATAACATAGATTAAATAGGATATTTCAGTGTTTCTGTTGTCATTATGAGAACAACTAAGGAGTTAGTTTTTTGATTTGTCAAATTTTTTTCAATAGAAATACTGAAAGGCACAGATATCACTCATCTGATAATCAAACCACATATGCAGTTAAGTATACAATGTTCTCAAATGATTTTGGTACTTTTTCCAGGACTGGTGAGACATACTATCATACTTGCCAGAGTGAATCACTATACTGAGGTCAAATGGACCCTATTGTATGAAGCATCCTGGTTAAAGTTCCTTATGGTCTCTTTTCACACCTTCATTATATGTTGACCATCTTTATCTGATATTTCCTTCAAATCTAAGCTCTATTTTTTTTAATATTGATAGAAAATATATGAGCTGATAATTTCACTAAAGTTGGCTATTCCCACTGCTCATCCTCCGCAGGGTCCAAATCAAATGCATTTTAGAATATTTTGATTTAAAACAAACCATTTTGAAGTAGGACAAAGAATGTGGAAATAAAAACACACTTCATGTGTGTTTATTCATTTGTTTGTTTCAGTTATTACAAACACCTCTGCCTCACTTGATTTCTCATGTTACTTTCAACAGAGATATTTAGTGTCTTCCATTTTCCCCTTAGGAACAACTTGGATCAGTGAAATACTGGATCTGATCTATAACAATGGGGATGCAGAGAAATGTAAACGGGATGCAATCTACAGACGAGTACCATTCATGGAGCTTATAATTCCTGGAATAACAAATGGTAGCTTATCAGAATATTCATTTTCACTATAGAAATAAATATATATGTCCTTTTAGTATGTGTGAGTGAGTCAAGGACAACAATAATACAGAAAGAACAAGAACTATGAAATCCTAAGTGTCTAGAGGAGAAGTTAGAATTTGGTTAGGCTCTATTTACCCGAAGTTAACATCTACATCTTGATCTATCTTAAATCCCTTTATATATGGAAATCTACTATTTAGCTAGTGCATCATATTACATGATATATATATTATATTGTATATAATATATATATATATATATAATGGAAATACATTTACTTGCATTTTTTAAAACATTGAAAAAAATAGAAATGAATATTATGTCATAATTCCATCATAGAGTTTGAACATGAGAAAGATAGCAAAGAAATATGAAAGACTTTCATCCAATCTTTTCATATTGTAAATGAACTAGAAGGATGAAGTGAAATCCTGGAGACTGGTTCAAAGCTGCTCTTTCTGCTCTGTCTTGTGTTATAAACAAGGAATGTATTATAGACAGATGTGGAGAACATCATGCCCTCGTACCTACAAAGAACGAAAGAGCCCTTTTAACCATGACTTTTTACAGTTTGTATCCTCGGAGATTTTAGGAAGATATGATTCTGTTGGTTCATTTAGCCAACAAATCAGAACAAAAGAAAAGAAAAAAAGAACTTTATTTATCCATTAATGATTAGAAGACTCAGGTTGAATTGGAAAGAAGCTGTGAGAATCTAAATGTATAATCCACTTTGTTAATGTATATGCTTGTAGGTGTTGAAATGCTGAAAAACATGCAGTCTCCTCGACTAGTGAAAACACATCTTCCTGTTCAGCTGCTTCCTTCCTCATTCTGGAAAAATGACTGCAAGGTAGCAAGTGAAAATCATTGTTCTTTGTGTTTTCATTTCTTTTGATTTATTTTGATATTTGCATATAATTACATTTCCACCTTCCATTTTATCTCTCTAGTGCCACCTATATACTCCTCCCTCCCTTTGTCAAATTCTTGTTTTTCTCCTTTAATTGTTGTTTTACACACACACACACACACACACACACACTCCCTCACCACCATATAAAAAAAACATATAGAAACACACAGATACACACACACACACACACACACACACAAATGCAAAGACATTGATCTTGTAAGATCAAGAAGAATATGAAAGATTTTCATTCAATCCTTTCATATTATAAATGAGACGAAAAGATGAAGAGAAAGCTTGCACATTGTGTGTGTCTACAAGGTCATGGTAACCTGATTTAGCCACAAAGAATTAAATTACGTCAGACTGTAGGATCCACAGCACAACTGAGGCTGTGCCAATTTCTTTGAGAGCAATCATAATTTTTATACCATTATCAGAGACAGAATACAATGGAAAATTCCAGGATCAATACAGTCATAGGTGCTAGGATACAATGATGTCTGCAAGCAACACAGGGTACGCAGGACTGATGTCAAAGACCAATTTTCCTGCCAAGTTTTCATGCTTCCTTGACTACTAACGGAACATAGAGAGAAACAAAAGTGTCTTGGTTACTGGGAACTTGAAGGTACACTGTGCCTCAGGAGCCACAGACTCTAACCTGAAAAACCTATGACGCATGCCTCTCAAGGCAGCTCAGCCAAGCACAAAGCCGTGGCTCCCCACAATTCCTCCATTTTATGTTTTAATTTCAGGATATGCAAGTCGAACTTTAAAGCAGATATGGAGGACCAAATCTGTCTCAACGTTTCCCAGTATAAGAGGCTAAAAAACCTCACAGTTACATTTCTATGAACCATTGTTTAGTTTAGAAATCCAGTCAAAGACAGAAAAATAATGACCAAAAATCATTTCCAGGTTTCGTGTAACAATGATGGAAGGGATTTATCTAACTTTGAATGCCTAAATGATCATGTGACCATAACTGCTCGAGGAACAGTAGAATGAGCAGAGAAGCCTCCGAGATCTGAGTCATTGACCTAAACAGGAATGTAGGCTTTTTTCCAGTTAATAAAGTGCAATACAGGTTGAAAAGGAACATAACCTTCCCCCGCCCCCCGTATTTTTCATCATTAACAGATGCATTTAATAAATACAATGTAGCAAAATCCCAGCAATTCTGTAGTCCCAGCCTTCCCCTGGGATTTCACCAAGTCTTATGTTCAGTCACGAGTTTCTTCATCTGAATCAGTGTTGGTAGGTAGACTCTATTCTTCATAGTTCAACAACTCTGTTGACCCACTTTCTTTCTTTCCTATGGGTGGAGTCTTCATAGACACTTGGATACATATTTTGAAGAAAAGGTTGTACACTATGCCTGAGTCACTGTCAGACTGTGACATTCTTAATCTTTTCACTTATCTTTCAACTGCTTTTAAATAATTGATATTCATGTAATACCAGACCAGATTGAAATGTATATGAATTGACAATTATATATAATTCTATAAATTAATCAATCAATATTTATAATTACATATATTTACAGATTAGAAGTCTCCAACAATCCAGCATAATGTATAAATAGCATTTTAACTCTAAATGATTTATAATTATATAGATTAATATATTTTGTAATTTTATTTTAATAAATTTTTAAAACAGAACATTTTAGGAAAAAGTACAAAATCCAAGATTTGAGCTTCATAAATATTTAGGAAATAACCATATTATGAAATCCAAAGTACATTTTGTCAGCACACCAAAAGTTGAGTTGCATCAAACATCTAGTCAGTAACCTTTTTGAGTCTCACATTAAGTAACTTTGTTTGCCCTGTAATTATAAACTATGAATATTGTGAAGTTTATTTTCATTTTTCTCAATACATATGTGAAAGCTAGTCCTTTGTATAAATGTATTTGTTCTATTACATTACAAGAAGCAGGCCAACTAACTTTCTAGATACACAATTCTCAGATTCCATTCTGATCATCTAAAACATAAATTGCGGAAATGATACCCAAATGTCTAAAATGTAACAATAGCAGATTTAAATTTAATTTCGATTAAAGTTTGAGGACCAATAATATACAGCATCAAAAATGCATGACTCCTTCAGAGTTTACTTATAAAGAGTACTGTTGATATATGGTTGAGTTTCTGCTAGTTGTCAGCAATAGAAATAGTATTACTTTGCATATTATATGTCTCTTAATGTATAGATTCAGGTTTTCTCTTGGCTACATATTTAGGGATGGAATTATAGAAGCCTAAGGTAACTCATTTGTGTAGTTGATATTTTAAAATAGTACTTGAAGTATTTAAATTGTTGATGAGCAAATGGTAACTAAGTTACTCCATACCTTCATTAATATGAAATATAGGTAAAACATTTTTATTCACACTAATGGCTACATAGGAGGTTATTTTGTACTTCCTTAGTGACTAATTAGATTGGTGCCTTTAATATGGCTTATTGACTACTTAGATATCTTCATTGAGTTATCGCTTCTTTTTCCCTCCCTCATTTATATAAAGACTTTCTTCTTTCTCGTACACACACACACACACACACACACACACAGAGAGAGAGAGAGAGAGAGAGAGAGAGAGAGAGAGAGAGAGAGAGATCTTACAGTAATGAATATCAACAAGAACCTAGAAGGTGTTATGATTTAATTTTAGGAGTTTGTGGAGACTAAGGCAAGTCAAACACATCAAGGTTACAGATGATGTTGATAGATGCTTTTTGGCTTATTGACCCAGTTTATGGAAATTGAAATGAGAAATAACAGGGTTTAATGTTTATAATGAAATTTATAAGCTAGAGCATTTATCTCATATGAGCCTATGACTACATCCCTTCCAAGCCTTTTAGTTCACTCCTTCCTACCCTTGTCCACTTCCAAGCTTAAACAGGCTACTCTCTGTGACTTGAGAGTATGAAAGTTCTAACTTTGTTTATATGTTGGAAGAGAAGTAAAATCTAATCATAGTTGCCTGAAGGTATCTTTCTGCACTTAATTTCCTAGGAAACGTATTCACTCCATGCATGGCTAAACTTCAAGTGTTAAACTTGCTTTGAAGAGGGGTAGGCACAAGACATTTCAGTAAATGTGCTACAAAACAATTTCTCCAGGAAATATCCTGACAGATATTCTCTCTCTCTCCCTCCCTCCCTCCCTCCCTCCCTCCCTCCCTCCCT